AGGAGGCTGGGACCATTGCTCCCTGTGTTAGAACCACCCAGTGCTTCCTGGCATCAGCCCAGCAGATCCCAGCCCCTGGACCTGGAATAGATCCAGTTCCTAGATCTATTCTGTGGAGGGGGATCCTTGCATGGTAGAGCAGTCCCCCTCTGCAGTTTGCATTGGGGGCTTGCCCATGGCCTCCTTGTACCCCAGTGATGCTGTAAAGATCCCTTGGGAGCTGTCAGGCTAATCCAACATAGGGCTCTGGGCTGAGGCTGGGGAGCGAAACCACCTCCTTGCCAGCCCTCCCTCCAGCCTGCTCCCCTTGGATGCACGGTGGTCAAGGGCTGGGTTGCCCAGCCTCAGAGCCCAGCAGGCCTACGAGGCCGTCTCTCTGTTGCTCGTGGCCCGGCCCCAGGCCTGCAAGCGGGGGTGCTTACAGCTGACCGCACTGCTTTCACTCCCATGGGAGACTCCTCTCCAGGGAAATTCCTGGCTGGGGAGAGGAAGTCACTTCCATGTTCCCATCAGAGCCAGGCTGTGAAGCTGGCTGGTATGTCCTATCATTGCTAATGTAAGCTGCACACTTGTCTGGGGACTGCAGGCCCTTCTGGGTGCTCCGGCAGACTTAGTTTGTCCCTTGCATTGAGCTAACCCCGTGAAGCACCGGCCGCTGCAGCCAGCCCCATCACTGCTTGGTCCTGACTGGGTCCCGTTGCTGACCCGTTGCTCCCCCTGCTCCTCCCTGTGTGACCAACCCTTTGTCTGAGCAAAGAGCAGAACCGGGGAGGGAGAGGGGGGATCTAGCCCCTTACACAAGAGGAACTCACTTTCCTCTCTGTACCTACATCACTCAGATCCAGGGAAAGTCACTCTAAAGAAATCCAGAGTAACTTTATCACACGGTAAAAGTTACCACTTTGAATTTCCAGTGGCTGTAGGTGATGCTGGAGGGGCTCACTGGCAGCATGGGACCCTCACCTGGTGTTTCTATTCAGGACTGAGCCCTGTGGGGCCCGTGATCGCAGTTCAAGGCCACAAAGTGCCACCGTGAGATTAAAAAACTCCCTAGACCCCAATGAAGTTTAACTCTGAGTGCTGTAGAGCCGTACAGGGCAGCTGCGCACGCGCTGCCTCGCCTCAGAGCCGTGCAGAAAGCACCTGAAATGGAGCCAGCACTTCAAAAGAAATTAAAAGTCCTTCTTGGGACCAAAGGAATCGCTGCAGGTTCTTTAATTAAATGTTCAAGAGGAAATAGAATTAAAAAAAAAAATGTGGGCAGCCAGCCTGACTCTCCCAAAGGCCTGAACACCACAAAGAACCTCACAATAAAAGGAGGCGATAATCCCGCTCGCTCCTGTTCTTCTTGGCGTTGGAGGAATTAAGCTGTTTAAATGTTATTCATCCTCCATACAGATACTCAGGGAATGCCCGCTCCGTGATTCATGTGCTTTTGTTGTAAGCCTGCAAGCTGTCTGAGGCAGGGATCTGCTTTGTGTTCGGTGTTCATACAGCGTCCAGCCCCGCAAGGTCCCTGTCCATGACTGAGGCATTACAGCAACACAGATCATCATACTAGTTGATCCTTTGACTAGCATCTGGCTCTGAGGAGCGGCACATTTTCCTTTGGCTTCCTGCAGCCTGAATCCGAACGGCCAGATTGGGACCCTCTTTCTCAGCACTGCTGCAAGGTCTCAGTTGCTGGACAGATGAGCATGTGCTCTGAGGTCATTTATGCTGGTTTTATACCCCACTGGCAACAGAAATGGACAGGCATGGCGCTAATCCCAGGGTAGCTCACAATCCAAGCAGCTCCAACTATACCACACCTCTAAGTGGCAGTGAGCAAGTACTAGCCTGTTTGCCTTGAGCAAAAAGCTGCCCTGGGATGGACAAGGACAGATGGAACATAACCTGGTCCAACTGATGCAAGCAGGGCTTCGTCTCAGATTCCTACATGGGTAATTCTCCACTAGATTGGGGCAAATTACCCTGATTTAGAGGTTTGCATGGTCTGTCCACTGCTTTTCCTCCCTGCTGTTATGCCATTTAACCCAGCGTAAGCAGGTCATCTGTCCGCACCCTCATGTCCATGCATAGCCCTGCTGGAGGTGACTGCTCCCGTGGGATGACAGTCTGGCCTTATGCCCTAGCAATACTTCTTGTAAGAATAAGGCACCATGAGAAGGTCGGTTGCACCCTGGCTCCAGCCTCTGTTGAGCTGAGGGGAGGCCTAGATATGGTGAGGCTGGACTGCAGGTTAGTGCTGGACCCATCGTTACCAGCCCCAGAATGATCTTCCAGTAGGATTAACAAGGGCTAAGCAAGAGCCCATCTGAAGATGGAGCTTGAGAAATGTATGAATGAGGTCCCCTGGCATGGCTGCTTGCGATAACGGTGTGGGGAGGTGGGTGGGGGTGAGTGGCCTTGAAGCCTGTGCCCCTGGAGTGATGTCTAATTGCTGTTAGGATCTGCTCCTCCCACCGGCGTTCACACTGAGCAGGGCTGCGCTGGAACCAGCACGCCTGCACGGGCTGCCCAGCACGATTTCAAACAAAGGAAAGCTCCAAGCTAGAAGAGCAGGTCCACACCCTAAGTTCCTGGCATTTGATCCAGAAAGGGCTTCAGCCCAAATGGCCACACTGCCCTCGCAAGCCAAACGTGGCAGACGGCTGAACGGTGAGCTAAAAGGACTCGACGGCCCTGCTGAAACCTGGTCTTTGTTCCCAGAGTAAGACGAGAGGGAAAGCTCTTAGTGAAGCAACCTCAGTTAGGCCTTTAGCACTTTAATGTGACAGAGATGATTTGAAGTCCCAGCTTAAAAGGATACTGGACAATAAAAAGGCAGCTTTGTATGGATTATGCCTGACAACGCTTCCACTCTCCCTCCTTTGAAGGAGGAGATAATCTTTTGGCCCGAGCAATTCTTACTTCTGCAAGAGCGCTGCTACAAAAGCGTCGCTCTGGCCCAATTACAGGCTTCAGAGTGGAGCAGGTTTCCTAATGGGCCGGCAGAGGGGAAATACATTCACTTCGCTGTGCCCTGCGTGGGAAAAATCCCAGATTTCTTTCTTTTGTGGGGAGACCTTTAGCCCCGGCACATTGGCTTCCACTTCAGAAGCTGATGAAAATAACCATCTTTCAATTCGGAGCTGGACTCGGACCCAGCAGAGTTTGGGTGAAGGTGAAAGTTGCTTTCCACTTTCCGCTGCAGTCAGGTTGGGCCCAGGGCAAATGAGAGCGGGCAGAGGGCTGCTCCAAGCCATACCACCCTGGGGGCTTGCCCATGGGCACAGGATGGGATGGGATGGGACTTAGCACATGCCAGTGCCTGTTCCAGCCTCCCAGTGCTTCATGCAGCTAAAACCAACGATCCTCAGTAGCGACATTATGAGGCTCGTTAGCTGCAGTGCCTCAGCAAGCTCCCACCCAATGACCCCAGGCCCACTCCAGCTCAGCGACACCCGAGTCAGCCCCATGCTAAATACCCAGGAGAGGTGATGGTCTTCATCAAGATGCCCGACACACCTGGGAAGTGGCAAGCAGAGAGTCTCAGCTCACAGAAAAGCCCTTCCTCCACAGCCCCGTTCAGGCCTTCTGCAATGGCCCCAACCCCGTCAAGCCCCTTCCTGGGACAGGTGGCAAGTTGGAAACCTCTTATAGCTAAAGCCACACGGATGCTTTCGGGTGGCAAAGAAGGGAATTGGTGGGAGGTGAGCGACTGTAGCATGCCAAGCGCAGCTCCTGGGCACCAGCCGTGAGTCCTTTTCAGAGATCACAGCATTCGCTCCCACGGGCTCCAGCAGGAAGCCAAAGGGCTGGTGCACCTGGGGGCACTGTGTGGATTTCAAGCGCTACAGAAACCACCTCCCACCTCCATTCGCACCTGGACTTCTTTCAGGTTGGCTTCTGCTGCTTGGAAAGGGGGTTTAAGCCACTTACACTGGAATGTAAGCATCTGTGTCTACATGGGAGTGGTGGCGAGGGAGGGGATGTTACCAGTGTCATTAGCCCTGTACTATCCCGGTCTAACTGTGCCAGCACAACGGGCACAACTCTGGTGTGCCAGGGCGTTCTCAGCCTGCACCATGCATCTGCTACCCATCCAAAATGGGTATTTATAAACCCAGCTCAGCACCTCCTGGCCTAGGGAGACAGAATTAATCCACACAGTACATGCTGAAGGAGCCATCTGAGGCTCAGCAGGAAACACCTGTGTTGTCACAGTCACTGGAAACATTTTTCTCCCCTGTTTTTCCCCCCCTTTGGATCCTGCCCTGCCCCCTCTTCTTACAAACAAGGCAAGCAAAAGGGATTGACACCAAATGCCATGGGGCAAACACGTGCCTGAAATGATGCGATGGAGGCTGAGGTCCTGCTACGTGCGGAGCCCCCTCCGCCTCTGCGGTGAGACAGGAGCACTCAGCCCTGAGCAGGATGAGGCCCTCTAACAGAAAAGGCTGGACTCCTGCTCCCATTTGTCTGAATTAAAGCAGGAGTAGTCATGGAGGGGACACGAAAGGTAATGCTATGCCTATGAGCAGGCAAAGAGAGGAGCCAACATCTCTTCCG